TTTATTTCTGTCATTGATTTTTGTCGACATTCTCAACTTCATCCACAAACCCCACTTGGTGTGTTATTTTCATTGGAGTTGTTTCCTAGATAGGGTCCACACGGGATATTCGCGGACCTCATCCGGCCTCCCCGTGCGTGCAACAATAGCAGACTCGGAACTTTGCCGTCCTTAGAAGACGGGACAGAGATTTGTAACGGCTGGCTAACTTCTGTGGGAGACGATCTGCACACCCATGCATCTACATAGTATTTTAAGTGACGGCTGATCCCATCTTCCTGAACGGGCAATGAGCGGACCAATCGTTTAGGGGGTATATGAAAGACAATCGACCTGGTGTAATGGACACTATTAACGGTCTTTAATGAAGATGCTTCCAAGGGATACAGGAACACTATACTTGCCGAGATGTTGCCTATTCAGTGGCCTAGCTTTTCTTGCATATTGTCTCTCGAACACGAACCCTACTTGTAGAAGAAAGACCGAGCCCCGTAGGTGGCCACCTCACTGATCATCCACAGTCATCTGTGACCTGTCTAATAGTATTACCTGAAAATCACTTGGTTCACATACAAAAATACTGTATTGATGGATCAAGATCCTGGGCGAGGTGGAGCTTAATATGGTCTGATAAGGCTGCAAATCCACCCTAGGTCCACCAGTTATCGTATCAATGTTCCAAAAGGATGCACTAGACCATCGTCAGCCTCACTGAATCCACAATCCTGTGTCACTAAATCTTCTCCCCGCAGCCTTGGCCGCCACCGTTGTAAGGATGCATGCTAGTAACGTTTGGCGAGGCTGGGATTGATAAATAAAGTCAGCCTCTAGTCATGGGGTGTTATTAAGATTTATACTCTTAAGTCTAACTCATGTATAGACTTGGGTTCCACCAGTGTGTCTTGAACCGTAGAGGAGCCTAGAAGGAACTGGATACTCCATGCTCTGGGTGATTCGGGCACAATGAATGCCCATGCGATTCGCTGCGGTAATGTTTCCAGGGCTGTGTCAACAAACGGATAATGTCCGGCCACTCCTTCTATGTACTTTATTGCATGTCATCCCCACAAGCCGAACGATCCCCGAGATAATTTGACGGTCCGGCAGACATAATCCAGTTTCTAATGACTTGGCATGTAAGTGACAGTGCCGGGCATGGGCCTAGTCATACCCCTGGACTTGGAGGAGGCTTTATTAGGACAGCTACACGATAGACGTCCAATCATTTTCAAAGTAATGCTGTTCCACATTATGCATGCGGACGTATTCGTCACAGTCCCGAGTTTGTTAACTCAAGCTTTGATACCATGTCTTGAACCGCTTCACGCCTCTTCTCTCTCCACTCACTACTAGTACTGTGTAGCAACCGTCTTGGCTTATCTTTAGGCCTAGCCCTTCACTAGCATTATCGGCATTTGAACGGGATGCCTGCTGCGTTCAACGCATAGTCACGCTGTTAATTATTTTGACGACCCACAATTACTTCATCCTTGGCCGTTTTCCTTTCCCTGTAAGATTCAATATTCATTTTCCTTTTTCCTACAAGTTCTTTACCCTATTACCATCACATAAGTCATGGCGGCCAGTACCGTGAGTGCCCAACAGCTGGCAGAAGCCAAAGCCAAATTCAAACAGGATGGATGGGCCGTCGTCCCCGACGTGATCGATCCCGAGAAAACAAAGGAGGTCGTCGATCGCCTTTGGAAGGCGAAGGAAGAGAGTGAACAACGAGGCGATCCAACCTACCTGGACTGGCTAGACCCCAACTCCAGCAATGTCCGTATATTCTACCTGATGGAACTGGACCCTATCTTCCGCGAGCTCATCTCGCACCCTGTCGCTGTGGAGATGGTTCAATCCGCATTGGGCCAAAACTTCCTTGTCTCCAACTTCACAGCGAACATCGCACTGCCCGGATCCAAGTCAATGGGTCTACACTCCGATCTCTCCCTACAGTGCCCCGATCCTTGGTTGTCGACATGGGGTTTGAACGTGATCTGGTGTCTGCATGATGTTTACTACGAAAACGGTGCCACCTTATACATCCCTGGTAGCCATCATTGGAAGACTAAGGCAGAGGTGCCCCCTGAGGAGGAGGCGAGGAAGCTCCTGGTGCCATTCGAGGCTAAGGCTGGGTCAATCATCGTGATGGATGGGCGTCTCTGGCACACGTCCGGTTGCAATGTCACTCAGGATAAAGAGCGGGCGCTTTTGTTCGGGGCTTACAATGCCCCCTTCTTGAGAGGCCAAGTGAACTGGGGTGTTGGGCTGTCGGAGGAGACGAAGAAGACCCTGAGTCCTCAGCTCCGAGAATGGCTGGGAGTTAATCGGGACGGCAATCTTGGGGTGGTGACAGGAGTCAATGATGTCTTTGCCGAGGGTGCTGCTCCTCCTACCCAGGCGTGATTATACGATTCTTGTTAAGTTTTTAAAACGTAGTTATTTTTGTTATGAGGTGAAACAAAAATGGAATCATCATCCTCCCCTTGTCGCATTTGGAGTCGCCGCAGTAATGTTTATTCTCGGCCTATCTCCTGAGGTTCTACGACTTCAACACTAGGTCAAGAGGTGTTATATACATATAGCGAGTTAAAACAAGTGAGAAAAAATAGAAGGAGGGAAACAATAAAGAGCACAGGGAGCCGGATTAAAAAGGTATCAATTGCATAGGGGTATCTAACAATAGCTGACAATAACTTCAGAGCAAGTCTATTTACTGTAATCACCGTTCAAAATAGCTCGTTTCGTCAGATCGTCGCTTATCCAGCGTTCAATGAGCGCTACCGTATCTCCAACAAGCTTGTCATAGTATGTACCCTGTGGAAGAAACATTGACTGGTGAGCCGTGATCTCATCTATGCCCTCCATATGCACTGGAATCCACAGGTGCTCTCTGCCGCGGTATGCATCTTTCGGAAGGTAGCAGAACTGGCGACGAGCTTCCTGGGACTGATTAGAACTCTCACGGCCCACTCTAGTGTTCTCATCTTGGCCATCCGATCCGGTACTTTCCTCAACTGCCGCTACAGAGGGCTCTGACTGCAATGATGAATGCTGTGCACCGCTTGATCTAGGACGCATGACATTCTTGTTCCCCAGCAATCCAGCGGCATCAACTGAGCAAGGTGGCGCCGATTTCCTCCGGGAATGGTCGTGTGCATAGTCCACTTCGAGCATATTCGTTGCATTCTCCAAGCTTTGCTGGTAATCTGACTCATGTAGGCTCTCATCCTTGACTATGTGTGCTCCGGGTGTCTTGTCTGTCCCATCTGCTCGCACTATCCCCGTACTCTTAGTGAAGTAATTCACGAATCGGACTCGTGCAGCACGTCGGCTCTGTGCCAACTCCTTCTGGTTAAGCTCATCGATGGCCTCCAGCTTCATCAATCGCTTATGCCTTTTGAACAGCTCAGGGTAGTTATTCATACATCCGGCGTGGTCATAATACGAATAAGCATATTGCAGAATGGACCTCGATAAGTGATGTGAATACTTCGAAATGAAATGCCATGCACCATCCCAACCAGTCCATCGCGTTAGTTTCACATCATTCTGGAAGGCTGGGTTGAATGTCGTGTCTGGACTACTGATGCCCTCGTTCATCGTCGTAACTGAATCGGTGGTGCGGCTTGTTTCGTCCGGTTTGTGGCGGAAGAGTCTTCCAATTCCAGTGGTCACCACGCGGGGATGAAGCCCAAAGAAAGGCACATCAAAGTTGACAAGTCCCAATATTCGATGGTTAAGTTCCTTGTCCGTCACACGCCCAGTTGCCGACTGTGCTGGCATCAGTGCAGCCTCTGCGGCGACGATGCCTCCCAGACTGTGACCTAAGAGAATAACATCTAAATCTGGAGCTTCATGCGGCAAAAGCCTGGGGATATTCAGTATTTCTCAAAATAAGGTTAAATGTACTTTCCAGGTTATCTTACCATTGGCTAAAATTGTCTCGGGCTATATGCACGGGTCCTCGAGTCTTATACCGAGGATAGATCTTCGTATAAACCACGTGGGTCTTACTGAGCGATATCGTTAAAAGATCATGAACATGTTTGGGAAAGTGATGGAAGCTATCTTCGGATCCAATGAATCCGTGAATGTAGATCAGGAGTAGTCTGCGTTTCCCTTCGTTGGTGTCTCTATCAGAGTGGCTCAGGGCTAGGGAAGATGTGGAGCCATGGTATCGACTTCGTCCCACCGTAGTATATATTCCGGACCCTGGCACAAGTAGTCCAGGCGAAGGTTCGGTGGATTGAATCGCAGCAGAGTAGCTGGGTGGGTTGTCTTCTAACGGGCAATCGGTCCCTGGTATGTTTGGATTCGCAGCGGATGACATCGCGATGCAGCTTTTGGATTAATTATTACCCCACTGTAAGCCGTAACAACTTGCTAAAAACAAGGTCCAAATGTTCTTTGCATGTACGTGATATTGAGTGAGATGCGCATCAGTTACACTACAACAATGAGATATACGAAAATAAGGAAGTTCCTGTTGATCAGGCTACCATGTGGCTTTGATGCTCGTATTCGTATCCTATCCTTCCTCCCCAAGCCTCGAATGGATCCACTTGCGATACTGAGGTTGACGAATGAGGATCCCATTGGATTCTTGGCATTGGGCTCTAATCTAAAAAAAGAATCCAGCAAGACAAAGGGATCCGCTGGATTTCTTGCAGGAGGTTGGCCTGTCTCTAGAATCCTGGACGAACGATTTAGTTGAGTCTGTTCCTCTAGCATGTTTACGCTGTCGATCTACCCAGGAGGGAAGAAAAAAGAAATCACGAGCCTGCAGGAAATATTCCAAGTCAAGAAACCCAACAGGTGGCCCGAGTATGTATTTTGGGTCTTGAACGTCAGGTTAGTAGGCAACTTGAGGAGGACCGATTTGAGGTTTCGAAACACACCAGGTGTAGTTGACTTATTAGATGCACCGCTACTACCCCGGATTTGTCTGAATTTACCCCAGGGGAAAAAAAAAAAAAAAAAAGAGAAAGGAAAACGGGAAAAGCGGTATGGAAATGCTTAGTACTATATACAAGATTATATTATATACATATTAACGGGGATCACTCCAGAGAGGATCAATAAGATACACAAGACCATGAGCTACGGCCGCAGCGAGAGGAGCCACCTGTAAATTCCATATCAGTATCAAGAGACTAATAATAATAACCGGAGTTGAACATACCCAATGAACCCAATGATAACCGGGGAACTCCGATGCGACATAAACGCCAAAACAACGTGCTGGGTTGAGACCTGATCAACATGTTAGCGCTATCCTTGCCTTTGGGATCCTCTGGGGTCCAGCTTACTAGCTCCAATATAACCCGGCCGCGTGAAGGCAGTTGCCCAACAGACCACTCCCAGTACGACACCAACTAGCCATGGCCCCGCGGCATGCCCAAAGATCTTAGCCTGACGAGGATCCAGCGCTACGCCAAACGCGAGAAAGATCAACACTAAGCAAGCAAAGAATTCGATAATGAGGGCGGCGTTGACCGGCACCAAGGTGGTGTCCACATGGCAACCTCCGACGGTGAATTCCCGGGATCCGTAGGCCGTGTGAATGGCGAATCCCGCTAGCGCGCCCCCAAGGGTCTGGCCGGCCAGATATAAGATTGCCCGAGGGAACGAGATAATCCGTGCGAACAACGTGGCTAGAGTGATGGTGGGACTGATGTGGCCGCCACTCGATGGCGCAAAAGTATAAATGAGCAGTGGCGTCAGCAGAAGATTCGTGATGCCGCCGAACAAGGGCGAAAAGAAGGTTAACGTGTGGTAGATCCCAACTTCGGTTTTTGGGGCTTCGACGGCAGCGGGAGGATGCAGAGTGACCCATGCGGAGATGAAGACATTCATCATGCTGGCTGCAATGGGACCCCAAGTTAGTCAATGCCCACTACTTGCAAGGGTCCAAGATAACATTCAACGCACCGATACATTCCAGACAAGCAAACTTCCACAGATCCAAACTTAAAAACCCGCGGAGGTCAAAGATTTCGCTCAGCGTCATCCATGGTGCCGCGTCAGGCACCTTCTCCAGGACCTTATCATTGCGCGGATCGCTGCGATCTACTACAAAATCCTGGTTCCCTCCTAGTCGTCCGGCGAATGGAGCAATCGCAGGGGTCAAACCACTTTGCGGCTCATGCCCCTCGTATTCAGGGAGATACGGCTTCATGATGCTGCAAGTCATTGAATCGCTCACCCTTACTCAACTGGGTGTGATTCAAAGATAAGAAAGAAGGGAACAGGGGGAGATAAGACCACATTTTAATTGCCTAGGAAGTAAGCTAAGAGACAGCTTCTGTCAAACTCGGTTAGCTACTACTGCTACGCGATGCCACGATGAGGACAGCCTCCGAGTCGTCTCGGAATTTGCAAATGGAACTTTACGGATGTCTTAGGGATGCAGACTCGGCAATCCGACGTCGCTGCATCTGTGTGGGGCCTCTTGGCAAGATAAGAATGCATTCTAACTCTATTCTAGAATTGGTTTGCAAATACGTTTTGTCGAAATAAATTCCAGCAGCCACTCAGACACGAGGGAAAGGATTGATAGCTGGTTCCATCTCCGGGTCATCCAATAGAGCTAGAATAATGAAAATATGGGTCCTCTCTCGGTAAAATCACAGCCGACAAAGTCTAAACTCTTTCCCGGTTCAAAAGCCTTGCCCTAGACCTATATCGTGCCTGGTTCTTTTCCATTTTGAACCCGAGAAGTGACCCTCCCGCGGAGAGGACGTCGGCGAGAGGAGTAAATCTGGACACCAGGCGTGTTTCTGTGTGAGATGCAAGTTTCGCGTCAATTCCTCGGACGGACTGATTTCTATCTACGCGCGGGAATCCGGCACCTTTGCCCCAGACTTTAAGCGAGCCGAAAGCCGATCGTTGGCCCAGAATTCGCCACGGTGAGACGGGGCAAACTTCCCCCTATCATCTAGGGCTTTCGCGTCGACATCTCCAGGTCTGAACTTGGTATAATTCTCGCACGTGGCTCGCACGTGGTGACTTGCCACGCCTGGCTCCTACATCGTGGGAAGTCTCCCTCCTGGACTAGTCTAGTCTAGATAATTTATTTACGTTCATAGACCTTGTATACTTCCAGTCGGACGCAGTAAATTCCTTCAGTGGTGTTTAGGGGCTGGCTGGCACTGTTCTACTGAAGAGAATAGTATCCCATTAACACTGATCATAGATGTCTTTTCACAAATTGAACCGATCATCGGACCTTCGCATTCTCTTCGCATCAGGAGATGCTTTGCCCATCGGGAATCTTCGGGTTGGCATTGCTAGTAATCTGGGCGCAGGGTTGACTAGGTCGCTAGTCCTAGATGCTTCCGTCGCTTTGATTAACAATTCCTGGTAGATATACTCCGTATGCAGTGCTCTTATTCCACGATGCTGACGTGCGCTTGGTACAATCCTCGTGCTATTAAGACCACTCTGGCTTATCGAGCACGTCTGCATTTGGAACTGACCTAGCATGCCCATTTGCGACCGTACTGGAGCTGGGAATTACATTCGGAGTTAAGGAAGAGTAAGCAGACTGGTAGCTAAAACCCTCATAGGGATCGAGTAGGTCACTCATGTCGCGTAACAAAACCCCATTTCCATGCTTCGTGTTTCATAATCGGCGAGGCTACTAGTTACAGTAGAGGTTGTAGAAAGATACGGCGTCGGTATAAAGCCGTTGCTTGCACTTCCAAGGGTTTGGAGACAGTCCACCTGCGGTTAAATGAGCGAGCGATATTCGATTCTCTCACGGACCCACATGGCCAGTCCACACGACGTTGATAAAGATCTTGATGTCATTTTTAAGTGTAATATGCAGATAGGGGGAACATAGAATATTCTCACCCTCTCAGAGAAATTGCACGCCCGGATCAGTCCGCCGGCGCAAGTTTTGTGCACGGACAGTGAATCTATCGCTATCTTTGAAGAGTCCATTTCCGCAGAGGCGAATGAGTCCAGGACTTTCTCTGATCGGTCTCGGCACTGGTATATCCGCAGCTCGGTTTGTCTTAAGGCACATGACAGTCGGACCTCTTGAACACTGAGACTCGGAATAAGTTGTCCAGATCAGTGAAGGCAAAATGTGCTTGTCAGACTCTCCCTACTAAACACAACTGAGTTGAGGAAAACCTGGCGGAAGGTAGCTGAATGATGTTGTGAATATGCGCGCGCTATCGTCGACGTGGTATCCTCAACACTACTCGACGATCCTTGATGCTGGTAGGAATGAAGCCCAGGTTTGTATGAAGTGGTCGAGACAGGAAGACGGAGATTTGTAGAATGCTACAGAAGTTATCTAAATTTCGTTTCTTCAACGACAAACCCTACACATTTCGGTTTACTGCAAGTCGAGGGAATGCCATGATCACCATCAATACTTCCAACACGTCACAAGTGGAAGGTTCCTCTAGTGCATTGGCTTCATATTCTGCGAAATCTTTTACCCTCTCGTCTTATAAGACAAATTAGACAACAGGCTAAATCCATCCAGAATTCCCCCTGGTTTCATTTTCGTCCTCGCTTTGCCGACAACCAGGTTGGTCCAATCGTCCAATAAGCTAGGCACCCGGGATTCGATCGCCGAGATGGGTTAAAAGTTGTGAGGAGCAAGAGATAGCCTTGGTCTCCCTGCTCATCAGGATGGTCAGTTGCATCGGGATCTTAGCTCTTGGGGCGTGTTGGAAACCGCAAGAGTCGGTCCATTTCAAACACTCGGCATTCGAACTGGTGTATCCGAATCACGTCCTTAGCTTAGGGAAGATGTCCCCTTAGTGTTCAATCATTAAAAGAGGGATGTGGGTATCATCGTTGTCATCTGTATTCGGTAATGTGAGCAGCACTCAGTCATACTGATTAAGAATTGGCAATTAGCACCTGCGACTCCCAGGTCACTTACAAGGGGCGCTATTCGACATCTCAAGCAGCAAGTTCCATATTCAATGCCACCACAGGTTCGGTAGCAGCACAGTTACCGATATGCGTATTGTGCCCAGTCTGTCGATATTGGGTCCTAGGACCGTGCCCGTCCGTCACTCATTCTTCTCTTTGGCTGGAAGCCTCACTTTCGATTTGCTTCCAATTTACTTTCAATTCAACTCTATCCTTCACTTGTTTATAAGCATGACCAGAGATGGCCTTTTAAAAGCTGTCCTCATTATGCGGCTGGTTTTTAGAACCTTTATGTTGTTCAATAATGCGGCATCGCCAGATTTTTATTGTGAGCCCAGGGAGAATGTCGATTTGATGCGGTAGTCCAAGGACTTCACCTGTGTCCCTTAACTGTTCTTTCCTATCGCGTTGGTACACAATATTGTACACATAATGTACCTTTATACACACTACTGATGACTGCGGTACGCTTTGGATATATATCCAGTGGCGCGTCCGTTACTGAAATGAGGAATATGATATGTGCTTGGGTGAGTGTGAAAAGTCTGTTGGCAAATAGGATCTTGCGGTCTTCATGGATGTCGCAAACGTCGACAATGAAGTCAAAGCTGGCCATGGACTTTCAAAGACAGTTCTTAACCGTTTCTTTCGGAGCTTTATGTTGTTTAATAATGCAGCATCGCTGGGTTATTATCGTGAGCCCAGGGACAATGCCCATGTGACGCCAAAGTCCAACAACTACTATCATGTGTTCCAGGATTTCTTTTTGTTGCACTGGTATACAACGTTGTGCAATTAGTACGGTGGATGACATCGTGCACGGTGGCATTACTAAGACACTATTTTCTGCATTGACTGCTTTTGTAGCATGTATATTGGTTTTGG